GCTTATTAGTATGGTTGAACTGGATCATCGAAGGTCAGAAGCAAAGACACTGGTCAATAGAATGGGATTAAATACATAAAGGATATTTGTGTTGTTTAACATTTAATTATTGCAGGTTTGCGTCATATTCTGAGTTGCATTATTTTTATTCATTTTGAGGAATACTGAATCTGTTTTTTTTGTGTGTGAGTGAGATGAATGAATGCATATTCATATTTATTTTAGAACTACAGTAACATCTGATTTCTCTCAACATGGGGACAGGAGAGCTCTCAATCAATAAATTGGAAAAAAAAGTAACTTGCATTACTTATTTGAAAAAGTAACTCCGATATTCTCTTGTAAATTAAAAAGTAATGCATTACTTTACTAGTTACTTGAAAAAAAGTAATCTGATTACATAACTCACGTTACTTGTAATGCGTTACCCCCAACACTGTCTATGAGAATATCATGCATGTGGAATCTGGAAGAGGATTTGATGTGTAACGAGTAGCTCAGATTGTCACAGCTTCATCATACTCAGGTTTCCGTCTTTCTGAAGTTCGGTGTCAAGCTATAAATAATCCCATTGATTGTGCACCCATCCACAACTTGAGATGCTCACCGTGGGTTACCCAAGTCAAATTTAAAACCATCAGAGGCGGTGGATCATCTGAAATTACACTGAAAACAATCTCCCTCTGCCTTAGGACAGCTGAACGGTGATGGTACTATTTATACACCAGGATTATATACATTCAGGACAGCAACACAGAGACTTTAATTGAGTAAATGAAAGAAACTGTGCTGTTAATTGTAGATATTATGTTTATTAAGTAAAGTTTAGACCATTTAAAGGAATATATATCTGTTTTATTATTGTTAAAGTAAAACAACAGGCTGAATGTTAAAGGTTTTTTTCTCTCTCTCTCTCCCAGGGTTTGTATTCGCCTATGCAAATGAGGTGGACAGTCTGACCTTGTTAAGAGACCATTGTAAACATTCATATTCATGCAACAACAATTTTAACTGATTTATGCTGATGGTTGTAAACATCCTCTGCAGCCCCCTGTGGTTTCATCATAAACATATTACACATTTACACTGCCTGTGTCATGAAAATATGGGTCATTCTTGTTATGAAGTACCTTATAAACAATGTACTTCAACAAATGAATGTGCTTTTGTTGCAGTTTAAGGACTTATTTTCATAAAGCATACACAGGGCTTTCAGATATATAGTCTGGTCGAGCTGAGGCATTGAAACTATTACTTATAGCTCCGTTATTTACTAACAGCAAAGAACCTATAATAAAGAGCTAAAGGCATTGCTCAGTGAGCGATAGTGAACAAATGAATGTGCTTTTGTTGCAGTTTAAGGACTTATTTTCATAAAGCATACACAGGGCTTTCAGATATATAGTCTGGTCGAGCTGAGGCATTGAAACTATTACTTATAGCTTCGTTATTTACTAACAGCAAAGAACCTATAATAAAGAGCTAAAGGCATTGCTCAGTGAGCGATAGTAAATTCGCTTGCACAGTGTTAACCTAAAATGTAAATTAATTTAACCTTTTGATTTTTAGGATAATATATTGAGATTTGTGTAAAGTACCAAACAAGTCTTGATGAGGATAACATTGTGTAGCTCAAAGATGTGGGTCAAATATTTGTCAAGCATCAAAGAGTTTTAAATGGGATATGAGGTATTTATACGTTTATTTATATAGTACTGTACTATACCCAGATATTTGTTTGACTTGATTGTGGCCAGGCAAAAAAAAAATTATATATTTGGGTACATGTGGAGCTTGTTCACTGCTAGAGGAGTCACTGGACTTGAAATTAAATGCATCCATTAAATCACAATCCCCTAGAAACCAGCTCCAAAATGTCAAGGACAAGTTAGTTCTAGGGCTAGGATTTAAAATTATTTGTTTACAGATGAGTGAGTAACATTAAGTGTGAATGTTAGTTTTTAAATATACTAAAGCTGAATTGTTTCTAAAGCCACTGTAATTCATTATACTGCAATGGAATTAGGCCAGCAGATTCATGGGTAGTTTACATCCTGCAATGTGACATACTCTTCCGTTATATACAACTTCCATATTACAATATTCAAGTGATTATGTATGCAGCTTTTTTGACTTTATAGATACTACATGGAATATTTGTATGCCTCATTACAGGACTATTTTCGATGAACTTGTAGAGACAAAAATGAGTGCAAAAATTTGTGACCCAAGATTTACTCTTTCCTTTTATTAATTCAAATGACGTAATATTTACATATTTAACCCAAAATCTTGACCACAGTCTATGGGCATGTTGGGTCACCTGCCCATACAGTATACACTCACTATTTATTCATTCTCCGCCTTCAATTGTATTTTTCTTTAGGCCTACTACTTGTGTAAAATGTTAATATTGTAGGTTTTGTGACCTTTTAAAAACTTTTACATTATTATTAAACATTCATCAGCTTACTTTAGCATCAGCATTGTATTGTAACACTTCTCAAGGTTTCTATCTGTCTGGTGACTCATGTCCTTGTTTTCTTTCAGAAACTTTGAGTCTCTCTCCAAAGACAATGTGTATTACAACAACCACTTGGTAAGTTATTCCGTTTGGCCTTGATCATAGGAAATTACAACAGACCTGATGCAGGGTGACCCATAGCTTGCGTGTTTTGCAGTTAGTTTTAGCTGTATCCTGTGCAGATGTGTGTTTGCTACAGTCCCGTGATAATGCACTATTGATTTTTGTTTGTTTTGTTTTTGACAAGTTGGCTGGATGTTTGTTTGTAACCCAGCCTTATGTACTTGTACGTTGTTTCTCGCATAATGACATGAATAAGAGCACTTAAGACTCTTCTCACAGCTTGTGAAATGCATGTGATCTAATGTTTACAGAGTTCTTAAATGGATGAGACTTGTTGCTCCGTAAAAGAGCCTATTTATGGGTCAAGTCTTCCAGCCATAGCTTTTGGCACAAAGATATCCTTTAGTTTCTGCAAACATTACCTTGCAGTTAAACGTCTGTTTCAAGCTTGTACTCTGTGAACTTGGGTAAGGGGGAATAATATTGTCCTAAACCATCCAATTTTATTTTTCAGGTTTCAGTTTATTTATTTATTTTTCTCCAGTGAGTAATTGCTATCTAGATGGATTTGGGTCTATTTATTCATTTTATGGATTCCACACTTATGCTTTGATCATTTGATCTGTTGTTCACAGGCAATTTGTAAGTTTCAGTTTATGTTATGAACATTTCTAGAGTGGTAGATTTCAGATTGCTGAGAGAATATTTGGTACCTTGGCATGTATAAATGTTTGTATTTTTAAATTGTTAATCTAATTTAATTGTTTGAACCAACAATTTTCATTCTGATAGTGTAGGCTTTACATGTAAGATTTAATTTGCTTTTGAGGATATGGATGCTGTCCGACCAGTGATTATTTTTCATCCCTGTCAGGAAGTGCTTCTATGAGAATGAGGTGGTGAGGAAGACAATTTGGACTTTTTTTTTTCCTAATGATGAGCTCTTCCTCACGTTACTTCCTCCGTGACTGTAGATTATAAGCCACCACACACGATGCACAAAACTCTGCATTTGAACAGTCAATAGCAAATACTTAAACTAATAACAAAACAGTAGCAGAATTACCTCCTCTCCTAGGTTCATGAAACGGTCGTCCATAAAATGCATTGCTGTTCTGTTGTAAGTGATCTTAAAGATTCCTAAATGCATCTAATTTCGGAAGGTCAAATAAAGTGCTTTGCTTTCACCTAGAAACACACAGCGTCTCCCTGACATGACTTCAACACTAAGTGCGGTTACTGAAACCACGCCGCCTTTCTTTGCGTGCACATTTGGGCGCATTATGCAAATATTTCCACATAGTGAGGTAGATATGTGGGGGCTTGTTAGAACGAGCCGTTTTAGGGGAGCGTGGCAGAGTTTTAACTTTGATAAAGAATATCTCTTTGATTTTGAGACTTTAGTCTTTGCAACTTTAGGGCTCTTATCTATAAACAATCAGCTTGTAACACTCCAAAGAGAAAGGAAAACTTGAAATCGCATCATATGACCCCCTTTAAAAGTATAGTGTAGTATGCAGAATGTGAAGCATGTATTATTATGCCACAAACATTTCTAACAGAAGTATATGCACCAGTCACGGGTAGTGATGGGTATCGTTAAGGTTTTAACGGTATTACTACACTTACTGATACTGCTTATCGATTCGGTACTTTAACAGTATTCTTATCGGTACTTTTTGGTATTTATTTATTTATTTAAATATATGTGACAAATTAAGAGCTGAATTACCATTGCTTTATATTCTGAAATGTAAGATTAATATAAAACATCAATTTGTAAATGCACCAGTGTGCAGGCATTTTGTGTTTTATACTGTACATAAGAAGATACAGTAAGAACATAAACAAAGTAAAACAAACTTACAAATGGAATGAAATAAACAGTGCTTTAATTTTTCCATGAAGGTCTACTAACATTATTGTTCAGGCAAGTAATTGCAGTAATTAAGTATTACAAGTAAATTAAGTAATTACAGTTTTCACTGCATGTATTGATACATTAATGCTCATTAAAGCTATGTAATTCAGATTAAGAGCTGTGAGTGATTGTCTTTGCATTTTGTTGTTTGATTAACTAATGGCCCAAGCGCCAGTCTGTCACTTTAAGACAATATATTGGATTTTCTCCCAACTGTTCTCCTCCACTTAAGGCATAAACTGTGTTTAAGTAAATACTCTCCAAGCCGGCCATTTGGACATTTTTGTGTGTGTATTTGATCGTTTGGACGCGCTCGAAGCTCAAAGTATAATTAGCTTGTCCGTTTTGGAGCGCGCCACGTGCACACATTTCAGCATGGGGAACAGCGTCTCCTGTGCGGATTGTGCTTTCCACGTTTTATCAAACATGTCCCGCAATTTAGCAAGTGTAAGACGGCCTTTTTTCAACAATCACCGATTGTGCTGATTCTGACTTTAAGTTGGGTTTTAGGGAGGAACGAATGCGCACCGCTGTGAAGTGAAAAAAAGTTGCGCTAGAAGAAATGCGGCTATAATCCTTAAAAGCCAAAATCGAATGGCTTTAATGAAACAGCCACAGGCCTAAAGTGTAAGCAGACGTCTGAATGTTTAGTTCTCTCCTCTATCATAATCAAGCAGGGCTTTCATGTTGCGCGTGCTGCAGCTCCTCCGCACGAGCGCGATCTCGCTTCTGGAATTGCGAATAGCAAAAATGCATCATAGACAAATGTTTGAATATCATTGCATATAAAAACAGCTGGCGACTCTGGTGAGATAGAATTGGCAAGATTGTGTGTGTGTGTGTATGTATTATATATATATATATATATATAACAAGTGTCACAACAATAATCATTATTACAGCCTGGACAGACCTGATACAAGCATACAAGTAATAATTAAAAAAACCTGCCTGAAAAGATGGGTCTTAAGGCGAGATTTAAAAACATAATTGAGGAGCTGCATGACTAAAGGTTTGAGACCACATAGAAGTTGTGTGAATTCGAGGGTGAACAAGAGTGTGTACAGAAGATAATCTTAGAGTGTGAGTAGGAGTGTCATTACATTGCACTCTGCTAGTGGCACCCAATTATGAATGATTTTTATTTTTTTACCCTGAATATTTACTTTGTGCAAAAACTTTGGGCCATTGGATGAAATGAGTCAAGCTGTGTGTTGCACTGTGGGATACAGTATTTATCTTAATGTGATCCACTGTAGGCCTGGGCGATAAAACTGTATGGATAATTATCGACGGTACACCTTCGATATCGATAGAAAAGATGTTCGATATAGTGCAAGATATAGGCACGTGCTATGAGTGACGCAGACAGCACACACACACACGAACACATGCTAAGATGATTGCTGTGATTGTCTGTGATGAGGAGATTGTGAATAAAGAATGAATATTAGTCGAATTTAAAAATAAACATTTGCATGTTAAGTGTGCATCAGGGCGCGCGAGATGCGGTGATTTGTAAGTGACGTTGTTGCGTTTTAATGTTTTGTTTGTCTAGCCCACGAGATGCGCCGCTGCTGCGTTATTCATTCAAAATATTAGAAGCTCAATGCGGAGAAGATCTTTATTGGGTTAAAACCGAAACCAAGCCATTCACACAGCACGCATATTCAGCGCGTGTTTAGACGGACAAATATAACTGCTGCACTCGCATCTCACAGAAGAGATGTAGCCATGCAAAGTTAAAACGGTTTAAAATTTTTTGGAGGTTTATTCCTTTTCACTGTGTCTCATATGTTTTTAAATGCAGTCTGTGTGAATGGCGCTTCGGGTCTTTAGATTAAGCAATGCATAAATACATGATGCTGTTTTGTTTATAATTGCTTATGCAATTTATGAAATTATATTTGATTTTTATGAGTTAATTTAGACGTTATGCGCGTTTTTATAGAGTTACTTCCTTGCGTTGACAATTTAAATGTGCTGCATTATTTTGCTCATTGCGCCGCCTTGTGGCCTCGGGAGACCAGACAAACGTTTCCTTAACCTATTTAATCTGCATATAAAACATTAGAAATTTAATTTTTTTGTGTGTTTGGTTGTTAAAACAAAAAAAGTTGTTTGTATCAATAAATTGTTAATTTGAAAAATGCAGTGGTTAAATTTAAGGCTATGGTTGCTAGAATAATTATTTAGAAAATATTGAAAAATTTATACGTTTTGCAAAACCTGTATGTTTTACAAGTTAAAACTGTCATTTTAACTAAATTAAAAAATATTTTAATCTGGTAAATCCAACAGTCCCTTTTTGCGGAGTTGGTTTGCTAGTAAAATCTGTTTTTGTAGCTTTACAGGATAGTTCACCAAAAAAAATTACATTTCTGTCATTTACTCATGTGGTTCCAAAACTGAGTTTGTTCTTCTGTTGAGCACAAAAGATCTTTTGAAAAATGTTGGTAACCAGACAGTTGATGGTAGCCATTGATTTCCATAGTATTTTTTTTCTGTACTATGGAAGTCGATGGCTGCTGTCAACTTTGCATAGTGTGCACATGCTGTATACTGCAGAAATGTTGGTGTGACAGATTTATCTAATGTATTTGTATATCTTAGTCTTTCTTCTCAATGGCTTTTTTTTCCTCAGTCGGGGGAGTAGGAGGTATCAAGCGGCACGCTGAGGACTCAAAGGAGGTGCCATCAGAGAAGAAGAATCTGCCTGTGGTTGCCAAAGACCACAATCTTAAAACAAATACAGAGAACCGTCCTCCTCAAACTGAAATGCCAAAAAATATACGAGACAACCATCCTCCATCTCTTAACATCCAGAAAAGTGCTCCAGAGAAGCACATTGTAGCTACTCCAGCTCGGCAGACTGGCACGGACTGGCAGAAATCTCCAGGGCCGAAATGTGTGCCGGCGCCCATCACGCCACTCGGAGCGAGATCTCCACAACCACATGGAGATGCTGAGAAGGTGTCAATTCGCTTTTCCCTTGATTATTCAGCTTCAGAAGTAGGGTTGCAAAAAGGTGGAAAATTTCCACAAAATTTCGGAAATATTCCAGAAATTTGGGAAACTTTCCAGGATTTTTTGGCGTATTCCAGGGATTTTTGGAAAGTTTCCAGAAATTTTGCAACCCTACTTCAGAATGATTTGGTCTAATCCTAGTTATAAAAATGAATGATTCAGTTATGGTTTGGAAACTGATTTTAAAATTAATTTGTCAAATTTATATTTAAATTATCTATTTTATATTTAATTTGTTTTTTATTAAATTTTGTTTTC